GAAGGAGTACAAAAACAAGTGAACATGGCGAACAGAGCAGCAGGATGTCTCAACAATACAATCTGGAGAAACAAATACCTCACAACGGAAACGAAAACTAGGATACATAAATCAACAATAAGACCGATAATGACGTACACAGCGGAAACAAGAGCAGATACGGCGAAGACACAAAGCTTATTGGAAACAGCAGAAATGAAAGTCTTACGAAAAATAACAAACCAAACTCTATGAGACAGAGTAAGAAGTGAGGAAATACAAGCGAGATGTGGTATAGAGAAAATAAACCTGTGATCCAAAAGAAGAAAAATAGAATGGAATCAACACATAGAAAGAATGACAGAAAATAGAACAGTACGAATAGCAAGAGACAAATCGCCAAATGGAAGAAGACCAATGGGATGACCGAGGAAAAGATGTTCGGATAACATCAATTGAGGCTAAAAACCGAAGTAAAACAGGCATGAGCCTATTAATAAAGTAGGAAGAAGAAGAAGAAGAAGTTAACTCCTTCTAGAAGGTCAAGCTAATAGAAGGCCAGAAAACACTCCCCCCCATGTGAGCCAGTCGCGAGAAACACACCATCTGCAACAAAAACCAAACAAAAAACATGATCGACAGAAAAGGGGATCGCCTTCCATTATTGTCGAAAATTGCGTTACCCTATCTATATTGCTAGTTATAATTTGTGACAAAATATAACTAACCCTGTGCTCAGTTGGTTGATAATGAGACCTTGGTCTCTGATACCAATGGTTGAGGTTTGAGCGCCACCTAGTTCCAAGAACTAGGAAAAAGAAATAACAAGTAGTGCCTTTCGGCCTATCAAAACTTGAACCGACTGCCAAATGATGGGTCTCTGGAGCTAAGGAAAACACAAATTCACAAGGCACACAAACATTTATTGAACCACGAGGAAATTTAAAAGAAGTTCTGGGAGACAAGCAAAACGAAATTAGTTGGTACTACTCCCCAACTAAATGGTTTCAATTGAAGGAAAGGCTATCCAAATGGAAGCTCCAAATTAAAGGTAACCAAGGGTAAAAAGTCCTAGATGTAAATCAGACCCCGAAGGTAGAACCCTCGAACAATGAGGGTTCACAGATATGGGCGACTGCTCCTCACAGACGTGAGTCCTACTTAAAGATCGTTTCGGAGTACTAATGCAGACAGTTCCCCTTAGCTCGATGGTTTAGGTATAGCTGCAACGACGACTAAATCCCCAAGTGGGCGAGAAAAGGGCCCTGATAACAAAATTCACAACCCGGTAAATCCCAGCACTCGGTGTGAAATTTATTCACTATCGCAGGTTGTGGCCACTGAGCTGCTACACGAGAACACCGGAAATAACACCACGTTAAGTTCAGCTCTCGCTTTTATGACCGACGGAAATTGCAAAAAATTATCTATAAAGTGATGGAGAGTAGAGCACGATTTTTCAGAATTATTCGAAATGTCTTGCTATAAAAATAAAAATCAATATTTTTAAGAACTGTTATAAATAAGAAAAACATGTAATAATTTACTTTATTAAGATCTAGTTAATTTTTAGTTTACCACAAAAAGAAACTGTAACACATTCCAACAAAAGGGTAGATAAGAAACCTTTAGTCATAGGTCAGGCAGATTGCGTAGATTTTCTGCAGTTGAAGATGAAAAACGCTTCTGGACACACGCCATTCTTTGCTTAGTCGGTGTATCCTATCTAGACCCTAAAAATCTACACCGATGTGCATGCACAATACAAACAAATGGAATCCCGGATATTTAATGTTCTGCAGTGATATTACTTGTATAATAAATCTATGAACTCATATATGCATATGAATATTGATAGTACGTTGCAAAATTAATCGCGGAATATTCCCTTTGGAAGGGAAATGTATATTAACCCTTCCCTAATATACGAGATCCTGGGCTAGTCGATTTACCTGTCGGACAAGGACCAATAGAAATGACGTAAGCGCCACGTCGACTAAGAATATGGGTTTTTCAAATTTAGTGGTGCAGTGCAAGCTATCATCCTCGCTGTCGCCTACCCCCTGTGAGCATCAATGAATAATACCTTTTATTACGCAGTAATTGTGTAGGTTATCTATATGATGTATTCTACCTGAAAAAGCCACCCTGTAGCGCCTTCTATGAAAGTTCGTCACAACCTATTCTTTATTTACCATATATACTTTGAAGAGGTTAGTACGTCATAGATGGCGCTGCCTATATGAGCATATACAAGTATATAGGTAGCTATAGCACCATCTAAGAGATACTAATCTTTTAAAAGCATATAAACTGGGAGGCAGTTGTGACAACTCTTCATATATGACGCAACCGTATTTAATAATATCATCCGGCCTCGTCTCGTAAATAGAGCAGGTGTAGTACCCCGTTTCCCGGCCAAACCCACGAGCTCAAAGCGCGCACGGAGAGAAGAAAAGCGGCTCACCGGACCTTCCCACCTCCATCCTCTCCGACCCCTGGCCTACTAACTCTCATTTCCGATTCATGTTCAAAGGACAGCTCTTCCAAAGTGCATCGATGACAGACGTTTCCTTTTTAAAACCATATTGCCCGTTCTTTTCCTCGACGTATTTTCTTAGCGTACCTTCTGTCAGTTCTTCTAGCAGCTTTCTAAGTGAAGTCAGCATAGGCAGCGATGTCTATATTTGACCTCCATAGGTTTTGGGATGAGTACCAAACCGGCCGTACTGAAGCTTGTTTCTCTTTAGACATGCTCCATTTCGATGATTTTGATATAAGTTTGAGATATAACAAATGTGCGTTTTCCAACCGACTATTGTTTTGAACAAAATAATGACGATTCAAATTTATTGTTTCTCAAAATAATTGCTTTCGGTATTCTCTGTACGTAAATTAAATACTCATTTTATCCGTAAATGAGTATAAAGCATGAAAATAGAGTTGGAACGATGCACAGCAGAGCCAATGACAATCTGTAACGCAATTTGCGAAATTGCATCACGAAATACTATATCGGGACGCGCACACGATGACCATTTTGCATATTTGTTTATGCAAATGGGCTGCCACGAAAAAGTTCGGTAGAATGTATAATGTATGGTATTGTATTCTAAAAACAATGCTTGGTTACTGCGTTTTATTTAGACTGATTTCGCGGTTTTGTAAACCTGATAACGTACGTCCTTAAAGTTTTGGCACAAACTTCATTGACTTTAATTTTAACAAACACAAAATAATATCAAGTTGCCTTTGGAAAGCAAAGTTTGTTCACTTACTTTGTAGATTAAGTCCTTGTCTGGTGCATACTTTCTAACAGAGGTGTATCCCAACCCTTTGTGGGAATAGTGAGGGGGAAGCTTTGCATAGTCAGAGCTATATTGATGATTGCCTTTCCAAATCGCTTCAGTCTGTCCACAAACATCACGCTAATGACTATATTATCATGTTTTGGCTAGACCTAGCATCATACAACTGTTCAAGAGATACCCAAAATACAACATACTTTTTTTCCCAAAAACGATGAACCTCCAAAATTGCCGCAGGCTCGCCCAGTAGAGCATTTTTGGGCTTTACTGTCAAGGAAGGTTTATCACGGAGGCTGAGACGTACAAGACGAAGAACAATTAAGACGACGAATTTACGGAAAACTGAGAGAAAAAAGAAAGGAAAAAGGACATACATTATTAACCTGCGAGAAATAAGCATACCTTGTAACAAACCGAATTAAAAACATGTAGTCGGGCGTTTCTCTGTAAAGTGGTCAACTCCTTGTCTCCTGCCATAGTAACATAAAATAGAAGAGGTTATTATTTGTTTCATTACTGTTTTCTAAACTTAATGATCTAGTCCACCTGTCGTTAGCATGAATTATCTATATAAACTACTTTTAGTATTCTAAAAACATTACTGTAATGCTTAAAAAATAGTGCTCTGGTATGTCACCAAAGCATTGCAATGGCTTCTGATTCAGGTATTGAAGCAAATAAGTTTAGAAATCAACTACTTCTAGTATTAATTTAAACATAATACAGTCGGCATTATTAACAGTGCTTAATTTTCATTTATCTATTAAAAAAAGAAAAAACAGATTAGTTTGAGTTGGTCACACCATATGGCGATAAGTCAAATTACGCGGCATCAAACCTTACAGTCCTCTGGTAAGAAATACTTAAATTCCTTTCTGTGCGTTTAAGTCATATTTCACATAATGCACTTTATTGAAATAGATAATTTTCAACTGTATGCATCAAAACAAAACAAATGGATACTGTATTGTGCTATTTATCAATATAATCTAATTGAACAGCCCCGTGGCAACAGGACAGGGGACTGTTCTTACTTTCAGAGGACTGTCCTAACGTGTATGTATCATTGTTATAGGCACAAGTTGTTATTAAAACAAGGCACCAAGGAAGAAAACCCAGACCAAGAAAGAAATTTTACAAAAGAAAAGGGATGCTGAACGGAAGAGGTAAGAGCGCCTCATGAACGACCCGCAGAAAAGGGAAGAGTTAAGAGAAAAGGAATACCTGAAGTACCTTAAAAAAAAGAAAAGGGGACTAGGAAGCATTTTAAAGATTTGACACCACGAGAACACCGGGAGGCTAAACAGAAATGGAGAGAGCATTGTTCTGCTTATCGGAATAAGAAGAAGGCATTGACAAATATAACTAACACTTATCTGAGAGAAAATACATGAGATTCAGAAACATCACACTCATCCCGACTAACAACACCTCAAGATGTTGATATGTTCAAAAAACGAATTAATAGAGAGAAGAAACTTAGATATCAAATAAAGAAGAAAGCAGATGAAAAGATTAAATTACTAAAAAAAATTATTGAAATATAGAAAACGTATTTCGAGACTGATGAAAAAGGAAAGAAAAATGTGTAAAGATACACCGAATAAAAAAATACAGGAACTAGCAGATAGTCCAGAAACTAAGAAAGATCTAGTCAAGAAGGCATTGTTCGGTAAGGTTTTAAAAGAACAATTATAAGAAAACTTCTCAAATATGGAAACATTGAAAGAAAAAACGCTTTTGACCAAAGTAGTATCCGGAAAACTAGTGAAAAAATACAAATTATGGCGTATGGAAGACACAAAAGTGATTAATTACAGAAGAGTAGAAAAAGAAGAACTACTCGGAGGATGCGTGAGGAAAAACAAAATTTCAAGGTACTCTGTTAGGGCTGTTGTCGATTTTTTTGAGGATGATTTTAATAGCAGATTAGGAGCAGGAAAGAAAAAGTTCATTACCAGAAAGAAAGAACGTAAACAAAAGAGATACATGTATATCTGTACTCATTGCTTGGTGTATACAAGAAATTCCTACAGAATAGTACCTTCTATTTAAGTTATCAATCCTTCTGTAGACTACGGACATTCTGGATTGTTGTGCCTAAAGTTGACAGACGCCATACTTGTTTATGTATCACCTATGCCAACATAGACTTGAAATTATCAGCTTTATATAATGCAAGGATATTGAAGTACAACAACTATCAGAAATTGATTCAAGAGCTGTGCTGTGACCGCTATCATAAGCAGTATTTATCTAAGCAATGTCAAGACTGTTTAAATAAGACTCCTTTATACAGAGAATTCAATAACAGAAAAACAACCATCTATAAGAAATGGACAACTGAAAAACAAGATTTCGTAGATTTGAAAAAGACTCGTCAAGTAACCAAGTATATTAAAAAACCATTTACTGTGAAGCCCCGAAGCCTCATTTTAGAACTACACGAAGATCTAGAGAAGTTTCTTTGTCCCGAGAGAAATATTGTACACCAGTTCTGTGCAATTAAAAAACTTAAACAAACACTAACAGAAGAAGATGTCTTGATACACATAGACTTTTCTGAAAATTATTCCACTAAATATAGGCAGGAAATCCAGGCTTACCGTTTTGGCGGATCACGTGCACAGATCAGTCTACACATTGTGGTCATGTATTTCAAGGATACAGATCTTACTGTACTGTGTCTACAAATCTTTCACATTCTGCGACTTGGACACCTGAAGCCAAATCTTAAGTCTTTACCACCATTAATAGAAAATGTGCATTTCCTGAGCGACGGACCTGTTACACAGTACAGAAACAAAACGATGTTTTATATCACGGCGACAAAACTAACAGAGTGTCTTCCAAATGTTCACAAGTTCACCTGGAATTACACTGAGACTGGACACGGGAAAGGGGGGTTCCTGTGGTCTGCCAATAAGCTTGAAAGTATACGTAAGATGTTTCAAAAATTTAAATAAAAAGGTTGGCAAGTCAGTTTTTCCAAATAACTTGACCAGTTTACAGAGAAACGCCCAGTCCAGAAGATGATCATTTTTAGTAATATTACACTAGTTTACACGAAAAATATACCTCGACAAAGAGGTGTTTTTAGACTAATTTGAGGTCGTTGAAAACGAAAATGACTTATTTATTTTTTCAAATAACCATTTAAGAAAGTTTTGCAAAAAATGTGTTTTGGTGCCATATTGCAGCTATTACCGAAAATCTCGGAAACGGTAGGCGTCATTTTTTTACAAATGCCTTACTTTTAAAAGCCACACATATTCCCTTGCCGCTAGTATATGAATTATTATTATTATTATTATGATAATTGAGATGAGCAGAGTACACAGTACTATAAGCTCATGCAGTAAATATAGTGTACGGACACGTAACACAAATACATCAAATAGAAAAAAATAAAAAAATACAGTTCATAGCTATAAAGTTTGTACACTCCTCCAGCTATCATACTGCACTTTGAAGCTATTAACTGAAGTAGCACCAACCACACTTTCAGGTAAACTATTCCAGGTGTTGAATATGCGGTTGGGAAGAAACCACTGTCGGACTGTTGTTTTAAATGGCTCCTTATGCAGTGTGAAGCTGTGTCCGCGTAGATTGCTGCGCGACAGACGGTATAGATGCATGAGGTTGGTGCCCATCAAACCATGAAGTATCCTGAACGTAACTATAAGATCGCCACGAAGTCTTCGCTCAGAGAATGAGGTCAGGTTGAATAATTCAAGGCGATCTTCATAGCTTTGTCTTCGTGCTCCAAAAGGGATACGAGTAGCCCGACGCTGTACTGATTCGACGAGATTTCTATCGCGCAGAAGCACAGTGTCCCATACCGGGCCAGCGAATTCAAGAATTGGCCTCACGAATGCCTTGTAAATGTAGGCGCAAGTGTTGACATCGGATCCTTTGAAAGACCTCTCCAGCATGGATAGAAGTTTCTTGGCTTTTAATGTAACGTGGTGAATATGCTCTGACCAGGAAAGACGATCGTTGACTACAACGCCCAGATCAGTGTGGCTGGAAACTGCTTCGATGTTGTGGTCAGAGATCTTGTATGTAAATCGCGGATTTGTCTTCCCTAGGTGAAGGACACAACACTTAGTTAGATTTAAGGGTAAAGGCCAGCTGACTGACCATTGACAAACAATATCAAGATCTCGTTGAAGCATAGCAGAATTTACGACAGTATTGTAAACCTTGGTGTCGTCGGCATAAGCTGAACATGTGGAGTAAATCAATGCGGGCAGGTCACTTGTATACAGAAGGAACAGCGTCTTTAAATTAAATTTGTAGTGTTTCCAAAATAGCCGTTAAAATTTGAAAAAAGGTTGGTAAAATTATCAAACTTTATTGACTTTTTTCAGGCCAAACAAATGTTTACACTAACATCAGTTATGTAAGCTTAAAGATAATTTTGTCATCTACATAACAAGCCCAAGTCTATCTGAATCGTAGAAAAAATGTGGAAATTATGACCCGTAATGTGGACCCATGCAATTTCACAATATTTGACAAAATTACATTTAGGGTCTAACATATGCTTTCACTCTCAAAGTTTTTTCTTATGCTTCGTGGAATCTTCACACTAACATCAGTTATGTAAGCTTAAAGATAATTTTGTCATCTACATAAAAAACCCATGTCTGTCTGAATCGTAGAAAAAATGTTTAAATTATGACCCGTATTGTGAACCCATGCAATTTCACAGTATTTAACACAATTACGTTTAGGGTCTAACATATGCTTTCACTCTCAAAGTTTTTTTCTTATGCTTCGTGGAATCTTCACGAAGTTGCATCCAGCAATAGTCTCTCATCATGCCTTGATTCCAAAAACACCCCTAACGCTTTTCAATCGTAGCAATGTCTTGAAGAAATTGTTTGCTTTATTCAATACTTTCAGTCCCCAAATTCCAAAGAAAAGAATCCAGATAACTGTGAAGTAGGTGCATTTTCAAAGACATACAAGAACATGTAAGCATAAAAAAGCTGAATGTTATTTTTTATAATTTGTTTTCAAGTAAACTATTTTGAAGTATGTACGTATTTCAATACTAACCAGAAGCATTGATGTTTTTCATCATTGTATGAATTAATTGACAGTCGTTCTTTTACCCTGATGTTCCCTAATAATCCATAAACTAATTTTTGGTAAGCTCCCCAAGCTTCAGCCTCGGAATTGTTCAAGCATTGTTGAAACTCTGTGTCAGTAATTATTTTTTTAATCTGTGGACCGACGAATATACCTGCTTTAATTTTCTCTGTTGACAGTTTTTTGGAAACTTGGTTTTCAAGTATTTTAGAACTGTGTTTTTCGAATTTTTCACCAAACCTTCGACCACATTCCTTATAAGCCCAAGCTTTATATGTAACTTTATTTTTTTTTCAACAAGTGATTTCTTGATAGCGTTGCTTATTAATTAATAAACTTCGATCATTTTAAGACAAGCTTCAAAAACCTTTATCGTCTATTTTGGGAACACTACGAACTCGATTGACACAAATCATGTATTGCTATAAAGGCTCCCACGGTGCTCTATTCTAGGACCTGTTCTATACAGTCTATACTTAAATGACCTTGAGTACTGTTCCTCTGGAGGTGGATTCATTTTATATGCCGATGATGTTTCGGTGGTGATATCGAATAGGTGTGAGGCTACCTCATAGAGAAATTGTGGAGTTTTACTGTAAAATATGCACAAGCTCCATTTAAAATCTGAAAAAACATGAGTTGTCCAACTGCACAACATGATGACATTAGATATCACTTTATAATTTTTCTTCAACAACCAATCCCAAAATTAATTTTAGGATCTATTTAAATTTGCCGAATACTAACTAGCAATGCCAAGGCACCCCTCAAATTGATGCACTTCTTTTTTCTTCGCTCTCCCTCCTCCCTTCCTTCCTTTCTTCTTCCCTTCTTTCTCCCTGACTTTGTCTGGTATCCGGGCAACCAAACCTGACAGACCTACTGACTTACAAGAGTTCATTCAAGACCAAAGGTCCCACGGACCGCTCTGACACACAATGACGAATAGACAATAGGTTATAGAACCACTTAAATGACCGAAATGTCCGAAATGTCCGTTCTACTTGTATAGCTGTTCTAAGAACGTTTTGTCAACGCAGCGACATACAATGTCGTACGGAATACTGTATACTTGTTCTTGCAACGCTAACAGGAGAGAAATTATTATAAGTTGGACCTTCAGTCAAAGATGTTGTTTCAGTTGTTTATTTTTAAAATCTACTAACCCTTGGAAAATTTTTGTTGAAAAGTGGGCTATTGACGTTCTTTGCAAAGGACGTAGCATTATACATAAAAGTATGATTGTCAAAATAAAGTAAATGTATATTTTTATGTTGGATGAAAACATCCTCCAAATTTCTGTTTTCGGTGACGACAAGGTAAAATCCATAAACTCCAAATGCCGTTCAACTGCAATAAAAAGTATTTGCATACGTGTATCGTTAATTAACAAACTCGCCGTTAACGTTTTAGATTCGCCCACATGACATGGACCATCCACATAATGACGTAACCAGCTAATACAGGGTAATTTAAAAAGCGACAACAATATACCCAGTACAGGAACATCAACATTAATGGTATCAAAAGCTTTTGAAAAGTCTAGAACTACCAGAACTGAACTCATCTTTTTATCATTTGCTCTTAATATGTCATCGAGTACGTTTGTTAGAGCTACTGATGTACCAAAACTACTATGAAAACCACACTGTGTACCAGGATTAATATTGTTACCCGTACAAAAGTCACAAATTTCTGCGTACATTGCCCTTTGAAAAATATCTTTGATATAGTATATTTATCACACGAAGTTGGTTAAACTTGATGGATTAGTTATTGTTGGTAATGGTTTTCCTATGGAGATTTTCCACTTGTCGGGAAAGTAGCTTGTTTCTATGGAACAGTTTATATGTGTTATATACTTATCTATGTACGGACTACCATATTTTAACATTAAGGGCGAAATGTCATCCCGGTTGCATTACTTTTTATGTTGTTTAAAATTTTGTTTATATTTGTTATTTCTGCTAATTTAAAGATAAAGGTTAAGTTATTTTTAAACGCCTTGTTTTTTCCGAACAGTTAGAATATGTTGTAGAAAAGCAGCCAAAAAGCTATTTATATCATAAGGTTCTGATAAAGTCTGGGGAATTTCATTATTTTTTGTAGAACAGTCATTAAAACATTTTAAAACTGACCACAGTTTTTTGGAGTTACCTTCAAAAGATTCTATATATTCCTTTTTCTCTTTTATTATCAACGATAAAGCAACATTTCTTAAACGTTTTTTGAAATTTTAGCAGTGCTGCATCTCTTTGTTTCATAAATAATTTAATATTGTTAGTTAACCAAGGCGCTTTTGATTTTGTTATTAGTGATTCTTTAATTCCTTCTACATTGAAAATACAGGTATTGAAATAAGTTGGTCATTTGAAATTGCATTGTCGTAGTAATGTCTCTTCACTACAGCGTTATTAAAATAATATCCATGTTTTGTCCTTAATGGGTCTCATCAGTACAGATTTTAACACCCTTCAGTAAAGGGATACCAATGATCTAAGTTTCCGGGAACGTTCTATGCTATTTTCGGATGTACCCGCTCTAATATTGGCATCGTTTGTGAGTCGCCCTGTATACGCATTAATTTATTTCGACGTCAGACGCCCAGGACGATAAATGTGAATAAACAGTTTGTGTGAGCGCGATTTCTTCATCTCATTCATCTGGTCGTTACTACAATGACCTACTCCAAAGAGTCCATTGAGACTAGCATGACTAGTATCCGAACGAGTTGTTGTGTTTCTCTGATTGGACAAAGATGGTGAGCGGTACCTGAACCAGCATCCATGCCCGGAGGCTCCGGCCGACGGTCATCTGTGCACAGTGTTGCCAGCTGTCGG